AAGATGAGGGATTTGCTGACACGTGGAATTAAATAAGTATTTAGACAGTATTTTAGCTAGTAGACGCACTTCTATCTTGGTGTTTTACACATGCTAGGTCTTGGTCAAAGAAGGTGTGTCTTAGACATACTCTGCAAAGGTTGGGTGTGTAAAAGGTTGCCCGTGGAAGAAAGGTGTGTAACAGGGGTTTGAGTGTAAGGTTAATGGGTAAACTATGTATTTTGCCAACAAACATCCCGACAAGGGAATAATAATATGACAATAACATTCCGACAAGGGAACAATAATGATAATAATATCCCGACAAGGGAACAGTAATGATAATAACATCCCAGCAAGGGAACAATAATGATACTAACATGTAAAACGCAATAAACCACAACGGAGTAATAACAATTACAATACAAGATTCACGGGCATGCTTGACACCGACGTATATATACTCGTCACCATGCCTATACGTTGTACTCCATAATTAACACGTAGCAAATAAGACACGACTCCTAATTCCTCAAGCTAAGGTTAGACCAAATACTTATCTCGATGCCACGAACACAATTCAAGTCTCTACTATCGCTTTACCTCTTGATTCCACCACCAATTCGCTCGTATATAGCCACAAGTTACTTAACTACATCAATAAACGCTAAATGAATCAATTCTAATGCATGAAAATAAGTTTTCCAAAGTTTTACCCAAAAAAGTCAAAAATCACCCCTGGGCCCACATGGTCAAAACCCGAGGTTCGAACCAAAACCCGATTACCCATTCCCCAACGAACCCAAATATATAATTTGTTTTGAAATCGGACCTGACCTCAAATCGAGGTCCAAATCCCCAATTTTTGAAAAACGTAGGTTCTACCCAAAACACCAATTTCCCCCGTGAAAATCATTGATTTTGAGTTGAAATCATGTGAAAAGATGTTAACGATTGAAGAAAACTAGTTAGAAATCACTTACAATTAATTTGGAAAAGAAGTTGCCATTGAAAAATCGCCCTAGGGTATTTTGGTTTTGAAAGAGTGTGAAAAATGGTTGAAATGCGTCAAAGTTATGAATTTACAGGTCTCTGATGTCGCAATTGCGAACCCTTCAGAATTCTGAGACCTTCGCATTTGCGAACATAATGTCGCATTTGTGACCCAGTCTATTTTCCGGTCTTCTTCGCATTTGCGATAGACCTCTCGCAAATGCGAAGTCACATTTGCGATACAGGAGTCGCATTTGCGACTAAGGCAGTAACTGGGGGGCATCGCATTTGCAATGGAAAATCTCGCATTTGCGTGGAAGGGCTGGCCTGGGCTGTTTCGCATTTGCGACTCAGCCTTCGCATTTGCGAGCCATGCGAAGCCTGCAGACCTGCAATAAAACAGCTGAAGCCTGCAATTTCTCAAGTCCAAAATCCACCCCGTGGCTTATCCAAAACTCACCCGAGCCCTCGGGACTCCAACCAAACATGCACACCAACCTAAAAATATCATATGGGCTCGCTCGTGCATTCAAATCACTAAAATAACATCAACAACTATGAATTTAGCATCAAAATCATGAAATTTCTTAAGAACTTCAAATTTCCCAATTTTCTCAAATATTATCCGATTCACGTCATTTCAAGTCCGTTTCTTACCAAATTTCACAGACTTATCTTAAATCACATATAAGACTTGTACCGGGCACCGGAACCAAAATACGGGCCCGATACCATCAAGTTTTAAATACATTTCATTTTCAAAAACTCATAAATATTCCAGAAAACAATTTTCTTCAAAAATTCATTTCTCGGGCTTGGGACCTCGGAATGCGATTCCGGGCATTCGACCAAGTCCCATATTTTCCTACGGACCCTCCGGGACCGTCAAATCATGGGTCCGGTTCCGTTTACCCAAAATGTTGACCGAAATCAACTTAAATCAATTTTAAAGTCAAAATTTATCATTTTTCACAGATTTTCACATAATGGCTTTCCGGCTACGCGCCCGGACTGCGTACGCAAATCGAGGTGATGCTGAAAGAGGTTTTTAAGGCCTCGGAACGCAGGATTCATTTCTAAAACAAGTGATGACCTTTTGGGTCATCACAGTTAACATTATTGGGATTAATATGATGAGTTTATTAGCATGTCTGTGATGCCAACTATATTGACCCAAATATTTCTTGAAACATTTGCAGCTACGGATCTGAGCCGCGATAGCTTTCAAATGACAGAAGAGAATAAAGATCTTTCAGGATCTTTCTTAAATTCATTAGCCTTTGGTCTCTTACTCTTCACTATTTTCTACAATATACTCTTCGTTACTGTAATCAAACCAGCAGTCGATGGGCCAGATTCAATTCCAGAAATAGACTTAACGCTTGAAACTCTACAAGCAGCACCATTACAGCAGTTATTATCGGTACCTCGAGTTTCAAAATGAGCTGTGACATTGCATTGTATTGAGGCAGAAAGGCTGAAGCAACTGTATATTTCTTTTTTCAAAATAGTATTATCTTGATTTAGTCTGTTTAATGATGTAAATCTCAGGAGAGTGAAACTGGTGTATATCAATTTATCAGCAGTACCTCAGTATATTTCAAATTTGTTAAAATTGCACTTTCTGTTACAGTGTTACTCATCTATACTGTGTATATATATGTTATGTTTTGACAGATATAAATCAGTTGTATCGCGGCCTATAATATTTACCTTGGGCGTTTATATCGCCAGGACAACAATACAGTTAAAAGACAGATTTTTTTATGATTTTACACGTACTACCCAACGAATCAACAATGGTTTCTCATATGCTTTTTAACGTGACTCGAACTCTTAACCTATTGATTCAAGGTAAAGGTGCTTCGCCAACTGAACCATCCTTGCTCGTCATATAACTATGGTTTGTGCTCTCAATAAGTACTAAGAGTAATTTTAAAAAAAAAAACATATTTTCTTATAAATTGTGTAAAATTAAGACGAGAGTATACCATAGACAATAATTGTAATATAGTAAGACCTCTCGTTTTTCTTAAATAACTATGGTGTCCGGGCCAGCTTGCGCACACCTCGACTAATTTCAGGGGATACCTGCCATGTCACGACCCAATTTCACTTCAGGTCGTGATGGCGCCCAACACAGTTATCGGGCAAGCCAACTCAGAAATACTAGTAAGTTCTAGTTTTACTTTTTCCAAAACAGTTGCCACAATCTCTAAGTTTGAATTTAAAACAAGCGATAATTAACATCGTACAATAATAATTATACAATGCCAACAAAAGATAATCTACTAATGTGTGTGCCAAGACCTGGTGTCACAAGTATGTGGGCATCTAGTAGGATATACAAAAGAATAATTCTATCTTACTGTCTGAAATAGAATAGACAGCCAAAAGTAAAGAAAGACTCCATCGGGCTGCTGAACGGCATAGGATGGGAGCAGCTCACCGTGGAATCTTGGATCAAGAGTATGCACCAGCCTGGTAACCAGATGTACCTGCCTCAAATCCTGTACAATTAAGAACAGAAGTGTAGTATGAGTACATAAACAATATGTACCTAGTAAGTGTCGCACCTCCCTTTTCCTTTCTTTCGGAGAGAGAGAGGGAAGTCCGGGTTTCGACATTCATGGGGGTAATAACTCATTTCCTTTTGGGAATTTGGGTTTTTTGAAGAGTCGTCACCTAACGAATTATGGTGCGTCAGGGCACCTAGAGTAATTAACTCTTAGACTAGTTTGCATTACCAGAGATTTAAGATAAGGGCTCGAAATAACCTTGAGGGGAAGGTGTTAGGCACCCTTCTCAGTCCACAATGGTGGGTCCCGGCCGAACGTATACTTATGAATTAGTCCTTTAACAAATAAATAGTTAAACACATACTTGCAAATAAGGGCATGTTTTGGACATTGTTTGACTCAAAGAATTTGAACAAGTTGCATATAAAGAGTAAGGTTTAAACATCGGGAATTGGGAAAGAGGGGTTTTAGGTTAGTTAGCCTATAGGATCACCCCACACAATGCCCGATAAACACTCCTCAATGAGGGGCTACACGTGACATTAGCGCGTAGGCATCATATCCTTTTCTGCCCAAGTCCCTCCCCTTGGTCATAGCCTAAAGCGTCCTAACAACCTTGAAAATGTCCCATGAGTGCACTACCCGTCCCTTCCTTGTGGACCTGGAGGTATTTTAGGACCTCTACTTTTGGACAGTTCTAGACCTTCCTAAGGTTTTAAAGGATAAAAGTCTAGGCGTCAATCAAGAACAAGTAGGACTGCATTTAAAGAGAACAGATTATAGGCTTACAGTCACTCCCACAAATAGAACAAGTAAATGCAAGTCTTCAAACAACAGTTAGGTATTTAAGAGAAAATCCTAGAACATGATATCTAGGTGAGCATGGATTATGCAGTATTGACTTAGGACAAAGTGTAAAAGATCCTATTTAGCTTGCCTACTGATTTAGACCTGTTAAATTTGGACAGTTTTAAATAACAAAACACAGTTTCAGAGTTGCGGAATTTAAATCGCCATATAGGCTTGCCTAAACGCAGAACAATGATGTCCTAAGAGCATGGTATCTACATTGATGCAGTAAAACAGTGAACAGTTTTAAACGGATACTTGAGATCCTATAGACATGATTTCTAGTGATAGTAAATTAAGGTAGTGTTTGAAAACTCATTGAAAGAAGCGGACAGTTGATTAAGCCAATTCAGAATGAACTAATATGAATTAGACCGATTTGTTAACTAAACTGATTTTAAGCTCTATAGGCAGGATTTCTACTAGAACTGATTTTAATTCCTATAGGCATGGTATCTAATTGTTAAGAGCTGATTTTGGAACTTATAGGCATGATTTCAAGTGAAACAAATGTAAATACTTGTTGTAACAGAAACTGAACTTAATCACTTTACATTCTATAGCATGATATCTAATTATAAAGCCATTTAGATCCTATATGCATGATTTCTAATTATAAAGCCATTTAGATCCTATATGCAAGATTTCTAATTATAAAGTTATTTAGATCCTATAGGCATGATTTCTAATTATAAAGTTGATTTTAACCCTATAGATATGATTTCTATTATTGAAACCATTTAAATCCTATAGGCATGGTTTCTAGTATGGTAAAGCAAATATAGCAAATGCATTAACACAATCCTATAGGCATGGTATCTACCCGAGTTACCCAACAAATATGTAACTACCCACCATTTTTCACTAATCACCCCAATGTTGTTTACAAATAATTATTATATACCAGCTAAATGAATTACATAAATAAAGAAAAAGAAGAAGTTAACTATAGGGAGCCTGAAGCTGGCTCAAATGACTTCCCAAGCCTCCAATAGCCTCAAATGCCAAAGTCCATAGACAATATCATGTCTAGGTGTGTCAGAATTCCCTAAGGATCTCAAGGATCCCGGACAGTGCTCACACCTAGACTTTTTCTCAAACAAATAACTGATTTAGGTGCAGTGTGTAAGGGCTAGCTCCGACATGCCAGAGTTCAGAGAGATCTCAAGGATCTCAAGGCAGTACACATGCCAGAGGGGTAGAACCTAATATTCTAGGAGTAATGTGAGAGTGCATAATGACTTTGATAGATTTTGGTAAATAGAGAAAGAAGGTCTTAGTAGCAGAAAGAACTTTTATGAAAGTCAGAACTGAGTTAGAATAGGAATAGTTTAAGAAGACATTTAAAATAGTCAGAAAGCAGGTCAGAGAACATACAGCTTCAGAACAGACATCACACCACAAGGGAAAGAGGTAGGGGGAACACCTAGCATATACCTTAGTGATGGCAATCAAATACATAGATGGTAGTTGCAAAGTTAAGTTGAGAACACATAGGTTTAAGACACAAATAGAATTACATTAGAACAAACTGTACCAGACAAACATTTCATGAAAACATTCAAGATTTTGGAACAAACAGGGTTTGGTCATGCTAAACAGTATGAAACCATAAGCTTAAACATGCTTTGTGATCTAGGCATGCTGATTACATACTAAGTCGGATAGCTCATAAAACTGGAAATCAAAATTGATAAACTACAGGAAAAAAGTAAACACATAGCTTGGAATGTGTATTGAATCAGAACATACCACTTAAGGGGAGTATACAAAATACAGAGTAGAGATAATGCCAGTAGCCAACCTTGGCTTACAACCGGCAGAACTAATAAAATTGCAAGGAACATAAGAGAGTGGAGAGTATAATAGTGTAGATGAACTAGTGTTCGTTATTTTTTTTACTTGAAGTAAGAGCGGAGTTTATATAGTAATCGGAATCTTGACACATAAGGTAAGAAATCAATTAAGTAGTAAATCAGGGAAGTCACACGTAAATTAGCAAGATCTTCCCTTAATCAAGGGACAGTTCAATCAACGGTAAAACATACTAAGTATTTAAGGAAATGAATAAAGTAAAGTTTAGGTATAAAATAGGTAATTAGGTGTAAATGCACAACAGTTTAATTAAGGAAACAAATCAGTAATAATCAGCAGAATATAAACAAGGCGGGGAAAAATAATTAAGGTAGACAAATTCAATCAAATTGAGCAAAGAAGTAAGAATCAAACGTTTAAAGGAAATTGTTCAAATTAAACCAGGGATTAAGGGATTCAGAATAATCAAGGGTTCAGTCAAAGAGAAAGTCATGGAAGAATCAGCATGCTTAGCATATAAAATGAGGTAGAGCATGAATAGTCAGGAAACGATACATAATTTTAACAAAACAAAAATTAAACAACACTGATTCAAGGAGAAATATACAAGTCTTGCATGAATGGTCAGTGTGAACACAAGTACATAATCTCAGTGAAAGGTCAAACTAGGAAAATTCAGTAGAAACATATTAGGACAAGAAAATCACGAGAAGTCACAAGAACCCAAGACAAGAACACAATCAGAAATACCAATATCCAGAAACAAAACGAAGAATCCCAAAAAATTAGGGTTTTCAGTATAAACGGGCTAGGGTTGTAGCAGGTTCATAAAATCAGTCAAAAATGTATGAGAAGCATAAGTTTAAACACAAAGAATCATCAAACAAATTTTAACAAGAAATTCTGGAAACCCTAGTTTTAGGAAAATATGAAAAATCACTTGAAATCATATGATTCTTGTAAAGAATCTCAAGGCCATTGTAAAACTCACAGGAAACAAACTCAAATCACCTTAGATCTGTACAAATCTAGGAGGTTTTAGAAAAGAAATTAGGGGTTTCGAAGAGAACCATACATAGATGAAGAAACCTGTTTAGAAACCCATAGATCGTGGCTAATATAGGACGATCTCACTCAAAATCACACCGAAATGGCCTGGAACAGGCGAGAGATGAACCCTAGATGCAAGTCGACATAGCCCTGGTCCCTTGAGGGTCTTAGAGATGGCAAGAATGACATGAGAGAGGCCATTGGAGCCCTGAGAGGTGGTGAGAGGTCACCGGAGATAGCCATAGATGGGGGTCAGTGAGATTGGGGATTATGGTTAGGGTGAGAGCGTTTGAGAGCAGAGAGGATTAGATGACAGCGGTATAAGGTGGGGAATGAATTAGGGTTTTGGGTTATAGGGTGGTTTAATTAAGGAAAGGGAAAACCTAGACCGTTGATCAAAATGATCAAC